ATGTTACACCACTAAACATCACATTCACGCCAAACATCTACCACCTACAGGCTACGCGTGCCCGTGCCACCTCTTGTTGTTCCTCAATCAATCAATCAATCCAGTCGACGCAACATCGTCAATCTAGTTCCAACTCTCTCAATAGACGCTAAAGAGCTTCACTACGGAGCCAACACAGCCAATCCCACCTTCGGTCCAGTTGTGCTTCATGCCAGCTCTGCTCTCCCGGCCGTGCACACCTATTTACTGCTAGGCGAACAGGGGCATCAGGTGAAAGAAACTGCCCATTTGTTTCCGCTTCCGGGGTACCCTCAGCTCGCCGACCTACTCCGCCAGCACCGGGTAACCACCCGTCTCGTCTCCGTCCTACCACAGTCAGTGTAGTGCTTTAAAAAAAAAATAGCATTTTAAAATCAATACAATCACTGTGGTTGTACAATAAATCATTGAACTATGTTTAACAGATCTCTAACCCTGTCTATGGAGGACAAGAAAATGTATGTATATTCGGGTTAGCATTGTAAATGTGTGGCCACGTCTGTGGTAGAAAATAATAATAATATTAATAAACAGGACGTCGTGGACACATCCAGCTGACGTAACCAAACTATATTAAACATCAAAACCCATCATACTCCTTGAATATTGTCTCACACATCACCACGTGTTACAAGTCTTGGTGAGAAGGGGTTCATGTCTTCTACCTTGGAATTATGAGTGGTGGGGACTTGCCACGGAGTAGATCAAAGTTCTTGGGACACCTCTCATCTTTGAGTAATTTTTCATGCATTGGCTCTTCTAAATTTTCGATTGTGTTCAACACCCTGGTTGGTGGCTTGCCGATAGCCAGGAGGGGGAGGTGGTGGATGTGGTGGTGGGGGAGGGGTAAGGGGGAGGTGGTGATTGTGGTGGGGGTATGGGGGAGGTGGTGATTGTGGTGGGGGTAAGGGGGAGGTGGTGGATGTGGTGGGGGTAAGGGGGAGGTGGTGGATGTGGTGGGTGTAAGGGGGAGGTGGTGATTGTGGTGGGTGTAAGGGGGAGGTGGTGATTGTGGTGGGTGTAAGGGGGAGGTGGTGATTGTGGTGAGTGTAAGGGGGAGGTGGTGATTGTGGTGGGTGTAAGGGGGAGGTGGTGATTGTGGTGGGTGTAAGGGGGAGGTGGTGATTGTGGTGGGGGTAAGGGGGAGGTGGTGGATGTGGTGGGGGTAAGGGGGAGGTGGTGGATGTGGTGGGTGTAAGGGGGAGGTGGTGATTGTGGTGGGTGTAAGGGGGAGGTGGTGATTGTGGTGGGTGTAAGGGGGAGGTGGTGATTGTGGTGGGTGTAAGGGGGAGGTGGTGATTGTGGTGGGGGTAAGGGGGAGGTGGTGATTGTGGTGGGGGTAAGGGGGAGGTGGTGATTGTGGTGGGGGTAAGGGGGAGGTGGTGGGTGTGGGGGTGGGGAGTGATATGGGAGGGAAGCAGGATGGGTAGCTAGGAGGAAGGTGATCCTTGAAAGGAGACGAGGTTCCCGAACATCTACCTGTTAATACTATGGATCCCTGGTAGCGTGGTACACCACCCACACTTCTGCTTCATCACCACTCCTGTGTCGCCTGCGTGAGCCCGCTCCTGTGATGCCTTTCTACCTCTGTACTCGCGGGTTAACCTCTCACTGTATTTTACTAGTATACAAGACTAGTTCTAATTTCATTAACGAAAACGTTTGACTTGCGTCCTAGTGCTGTACATGGATATATTCATTGTGCATAACTAGTCTTATTAAAAAAAGACGGCGGATTTTAAAACCTTGCCGTGTGGAAACACGCTAGTGTAAGATTTCTGCCCGAAACACTGCGCGAACTAGTGGCTTTACAAGATCGTAAATACCATGCTCTGTATTCTCACAAAACCCAATGTACCATAAATAAATAAAGTTGACCGACCCCTTTGAGAGGCATATCGAAGCTTGTACATTCTCACTGGGGTAGTCGGGTTGTTTACTAGCGATGACGGACACGGGTCGATATGTCCTCACGTCTGGGGCCCCTCTAACACGAGACGTATTTACTCTTCAGTCTTCGCTGCACTGTAAATAAACTTCAACAAACTCATCGTATAGTAACGTAAAGGAGAATAAGTAATTACCTTATTACTCACAATCGACTTCAGAATGGTCCAGGACGGACCGAAACGTCGTGGTCCCTTCACCTTCTAGTGTGTGGTCTGGTCAACAACCTTATTTACAGGATGAGAGCTACGCTCGTGGTGTCCCGTCTTCCCAGTACTCTTTGTAGTATAACGACTTGAACCTACTGCTGGTTTTGGCCTCCAACACTACCTCACTTGGCTTGTTCCAACCGTCTACCACCCACACGTTAAGAACATGTTCAGATCAATTCTGTAGTATGATTGTAGAGTTCCTTGTCCGAAACTTGGAATAAATAACAATGATGATGTAGCTAAAGTGTGAACCTCTGAGCGGGAGGCAGTTCTAGGCCCCTAACCTATACCTGGTTGATGGGGTTCTGGGAGTTGTTCTTCTTCTTCCAAGCCCGGCCCGAGGCCAGGCATGACTTGTGAGAGTTTGGTCCACCAGGCTGTTGCTTGGAGCGGCCCGCAGGCCCACATACCCACCACAGCCCGGTTGGTCCGGCGCTCCTTGGAGGAATAAATCTAGTTTCCTCTTGAAGATGTCCACGGTTGTTCCGGCAATATTTCTTATGCTCGCTGGGAGGACGTTGAACAACCGCGGACCTCTGATGTTTATACAGTGTTCTCTGTGCCTATGGCACCCCTGCTCTTCACTGGTTCTATTCTGCATTTTTCCCCACACCTTTTCTTCCATATCGTTCATAACTTATAACTACTTAACATAACTTATAACTTGTTTATTTTATCCATAACTTTGATGAGCGTTCATTGTGGGTTTACCGGGTGGGAGGAGGCTCAACCAAGGCTGATCATATGGTTGTGGGCGAGGTGTGAGGTGACCATGTCGACATGGTCGCCGACATGGTGGTGCCGACTTCCGGGCTCTTGCTCAAGCTCCGACACTTCCGGGAAGCTTTAAGTTTAGTGCCTCGTATATTCCCTTGTTATTTTCAGATGTTCTCCACCAACCCTCTCCTGCTGGGGACGGTGGGGGAGGGGGGGAATGAAGGCTGCCGCGAGAGTAATGGCTGCCTGTTCCTCCCACCTGTTGCTTCTGTTGTAGTGACCTTTGGCCAACATCTTATTCCCTCCCCCCCCCCTACTCTTGTCTGCCGATTCTCAGCCCCCCCCCATCTCCCACCTTCATTCCTGTGTTTCAGCACAACCTCCATAATCCTCCTCCTTCACCTCTCCACAGCCTCCGCCCTTCCTTCCCTGCCCCGGCCCACCCCACTACAGCCTCCACAATTCCTGCACCTTTAGGGCCGTATTAACACACAAGAGGGCCGGCATAAATGTAGTCAGTAATGGTTACACATGGAGTGCTTCAGGCCTATTCCAGTGCGTTTGTGTTCACCATATGTTTATTTTAGTTTATGAAGAGGAACAGGTGAAGTAATAGGTTTAGAAATTGGTAGTATAGTATGAGTTATGATACCAAGGAGGTAACAAGAGACCAAGTTCGCATGTTGAAACTGTGTGTTTGGTAGCTAAGCTAAGCTTACTCTCTTGCAGGGAGGAGTGTGTTTCAGCATACACTTGTAAGGCTTAAAACTTGAAAGTTTTAATCTTGTGTCTTTCCCACACCTTGCCAGAAACGCTGTGCGTATTAGTGGCTTTAGGCGTAGTATGTACTAGTTCTATCTAGAAATCCAATATTTGTTAACTCATTTTGAATGTATGTACTTTTGCCTGAATAAAAATATTATACTATCCTATTATCTCATGGATGTTCGTGGATGAATGCTGTGTAGCATTCACATGTACCCACACTGATGCTTTGATGCGCTGTTTGCGTTTAGTTTTTCATTTTGGAATTGTGTTGTGGGGCTTTGTTTCCATAAAATAAATCAAAACTGTGGGGCCAGCAAGTAAGGGGAAGGGGGGGGGTGTCTCATCTTGGAGTAATCTTTCCAATATTGGGTCTCTTGTGGCTTCTTGGTGTGTGATGTTCACTGGTTGGTTTTTGCTGCTACTCTTAATCTCTTATTTTTCACGGCTTGTATATTTTGCATGTGTTTTTGAAGATGTGTAGAGGTACTAGAGGATGTTAAAGATGCAGCCGGACTAAAACCTTGTTGTACAAGTGTAGCGGTAATGTTTTATGCTAAGGCTACAGAATTGCCTTAGTTTTCCCCAAGGCTGTTTTTGTTATTGTCAGTTCCAGTATTGTGCTTACGTCCATGAGGGATAGCACGTTTGTCCAGGATAATGGACTCGATTTCTTTCTTCAATATGTATTTAGATTTTTTTTTTTTAATTTAGCTGGTGCTCTTAGGGGACAGGAAGCCTTTACTTTACGCAAGTCTCCTTAGGTCAACTACTGACCTTCCCCAGGATGCACATATTGGTTGTTTAACCCTCAAAGGCCTATTTACTGGTAGGTCAACAAAGGCATCAGGTGAAAGAGAACGTGCCCAGTTTGTCCCACCTGGGATTTGAACCCGGGTACCTAGGTTGTGAGCTGAAGGTGCAGACTACTCTGCAACAGAATGCCGATACCTAGATGTTTAGGCTAAGTCGGCTAATGCAAGCTGTAAACAATTGAGCATTCTGCAGTTTCACCACCTTGTTAAATCCTGCTAATCGCTTTACTTTTTATTAACCTAGAGCTGTTAGGCTCTTTAAGTTGAACTTTTAGATGCGCATGGGAAAAGTATTGCAAACCCAGAATAGTGAACTGTATATAGCAATTTGTGAACTGGGGAAATTGCAGATAGCAATTGGAGCAGCGGTCTTGATAGTATTAGTGACTTAGATTTAATAGTGTTGTATATTACTGTATATAACCATTTGTTGCAATCCAGTAAAATGCAATACCAACATCTTAATTGTATATGCTAGCTTAATTTGGCCTCGTTATCTTTTCAGATATATCAGCACCTTCGATACTACAGCAACCCAGCGGAGCAGAGATGGATTGTGCGGATTTTGCTATTTGTGCCAATATATGCGTTCGACTCCTGGCTCTCGCTTCTGTTCTTCAACAAAGACAATTATTATATCTACTTTGATACTGTCAGGGATTGCTATGAAGGTAAGTCATTAAATGCTAATAACTATAGTACTGAAAAAATTAGCTTTAAGTAGTCAAAAACCTTGAGGTTTTCAAGTCAGCCATATGTCAGTGTATGAAATGCACCTGTTTTTCAAGGATATTTTGTGCAAATTTTTATTATGCTGTATTTATTGATTGTGAGGTTTAACCCTTAAACGGCTCATCCTTAAGGGTCAAGAAGCGAAAAATATTCAAATTATGTAAAAAATTACTTAAAAATGTTACACAAATCTCCAACTTATTGACTTCAGGGCCGTGAAACTTTCATCGAAATACTGGTATTTTCAGATTAATTTTAGACGAATTTTTACAAATGTTTTATTGATAAGGAGAATAGCTTCTATTATCTGGAACTGAGGGATAATGCAGTAATGGATGCAAGCACCTGTCTGACGCACAAAGAATAATAGTACTGTACTGTAGTAAGAAGTGTCCACAAAGTGGATATTCAGCTGGGGCCTTTATGGCTTTGCTGAGTACCATATAACACAAATAATGTTATTACAAAATAAAGCATAATACGTATCTTATTAATATTGGGCACTATTTGTTACTTTCATCAATGTCAAAAAAAAAAAAAAAAAATTTGGGGGTGGCAATTTTTTTTTTTTTTTTTTTTTTTTTTTTTTTTTTTTTTTTTTTTTTTTTTTTTTTGTAACCTTCACAACCTGAAGAAAGCATACCTGTCTTAACTGTGAAGATATAATGCAATTGGTCAATAAAATAAATGTCACAGCCCACAGAACTTGGGACTTTGAATTTTTTTGGCCGATTTTTTTTTTCAGAGGTTTCAAACTCTATTTTCTTCGTCTCTTTAGGTTGTTTTGATTAGGGACCAGATTAGGGTTTATTCACGTATATAAAGTATACCCTAAATATATCCCCTAAATCATTATAATTTTTTTTTTGAAGGGGGTATTTTTTTCTTGACTTCATTTCGACACATTGACCTACAACTTTCACATATTTGAATACGAATGCCAAACAATGTTTATTAAAACATGCAAGTAAATTAACAAATTCGAACTACCTGTATTCAATGTCGATAACTTCAATTATCTCAAACTAGTTTCAACTTTGAGTGGCTTCTAAAATTCCTGTTTCTGACCGATTCTTACCATTTTTGACATGTGCTCAGCTGTCTATTCTACAGTCCCTTGAATGATTTTTTTCATAAAATTGCTGTAAATTTAGAAAAAAGTATTTCAAATGCGATATTGATGATTTTTTACAGTAAAGTATATTTAAGTATATATAGAAAACCTATATTCTAATTTCCTGACAATGAAGATCATATGCCTATTCTGCGAGCATAACACCAAAGGAACAATTGGTGAAAGTTTTTCAAAGCGTATATTTTGGGAAGACGGGACACCACGAGCATAGCTAAACTCCGATTTTAGAAAATCTGAAGTTTTAAATATCAAATTTTAAAATTATTTTTGATTTTCTTGTTTTAAAGTTATGTTGGTGATCGAGTGGCAAAGTTGGAGCATTTGCAGAGTTGATTATGCATTATTTTGTATATATTACAGTATATATTTTGTTTCATATTTATTTTCACAGGTAAAGTGTTTATAAAATGTCATTTCACAAATGTCAAGTGCTGTATAAAATGACTACAGTATACTGTAGTTACATGGTTGTTAAAGTACAGTAGTGGTACTGTTTGCTGTACTGGGAAATCTGTAATACATTACACTTTACCGTAGTATTATTGATGAGTCTGTAACATTGACGAAAAAAAAAATTGTCCCAAACCAATTCATTTGGTACATAGATTCATTTTATTTTGGCGAGAAAAATGATAGGAAGGATTAAGAGAACCTTCAAATCTAGGGATCCAATCAGTGGTTCTACTATTCAAATCACTTGTTAACCCATCTCAAATACTGCTCAGTTCTCGCTTTCCCCTTCAGAGTAGGAGAGATTGCTGAAATAGAGAACATGTACAGTATGGCATACAGAGACATAAAGCACCTAAATTATTGGGATAGTCTCCAAACGTTCCAAATGTTCCCTAGAAAGGAGACGAGAGATATACAGCATCAAATAATGTACTCGTGGAAAATACTGGAGGGCCATGTTCCAAATCTACAGAGTAAAATAACGTATTGGGGTAAACAATATGGGAAAATGCATAATAGAACCAGTGAAGAGCAGGGGGTGCCATAGGCGCAATCAGAAAACATTGCATGGATATCAGATCCACAGTTGTTCAACATACTCCCAGCGAGTATAAGAAATATTGCTGGAATAAACTTGGACACCTTGAAAACACTCGTTTTCTCTTTAAGAAGTGCCAGACTAACCGGGCTGTTGTGGGCCTGCGGGCTGCTTCAAGCAAACAGCTTGTTGGACAAAGCTCTTGCAAGTTTATGCCGGGCTTCGGGAGTAGAAGAACTCCCAGGAAACATAAGTTTCAAACTGATTCATATTGATGTTCAAAACTACAATGTTCAGAGCTTTCTTTCAAGGTACCTCAACTCGGAGCTTTGGGATTGTACCTGGATGGGGTTCTAAGAGTTCTCTGCATTGTTTCTGGGGGTCAATGTCCCTGCTTCCAGGTCTGACCAGGCCTCCTTGTTGGTAGTCTGGTCAACCAAGCTGTTGGATGTGGCTGCTTGCAGCCTGACATATGAACAAGTCTGGTTGACCAGGTATCCTTTGATGGTGTTTATAAAGTTCTATCTTGAACATTGAGTGGCCAGCCAGTTATGCCCCTGATGTGCGGGAGTGTTAGTCTTAGAGAACAACAACAAAGGGCTAAGTATGTATTGCACCTTTGCTTTTCAATGGGGTTATTCTGCACATCCTGCCATGCCTCCTGATCACATGTAATGTTTCAAATCTGCACATAGAAATAACAAGTCCCTCTTGTGGATCATGAATCATGGTCTGGACCTGAACTACTGGAACACTTATCATGTGACTTCAATCCTTTCTCTTCTTGATATTTCATGCTCTTGTGATTTCATTATGCTGAATGATTTTTCTTACGTTTGTTTTTTGACTCGTTGCAGCATTTGTGATCTACAACTTTCTTAGTCTCTGCTACGAGTACCTGGGTGGAGAAGGAAACATTATGAGCGAGATCAGAGGGAAGCCTATTAGGTAAGTCCTGTACCAACATTATTGATTACTTGGGGAAAGTTTGTAAAAACCATCACAATTTGCCAAGATTATATATACATTAGATGTTTGTAAATACTGTTTGGACAATTGGAATAAAATAAAAGTATGCAGATGGGATATACCCATAGAAATAAGTAATCCTTTTTAGTGCAGGTAAAAATTTCTCAACTTGCAATTGTTACCATACAACTGGGTGATCATTCACCCAGGTGATGGAGCTATGCCAGACTGCTTAGCTTCTCATAGATGTCAGACAAGTAAAAAATGAAGCCAAAATAAATGGCCATACAGACTAGTGGCCCTTTTTATAGCAAGACGATGAAAAATGACAATTGTCAAATGAGTTCCCTTCCCACCGCACTGTCCCAAAAAACTATCAGGAGAAAGTGGCAAGCCATTACGGTGGGAACGAACTCGTTCTTGTCTGTCTTGGGCACACACAGGTGAGAGTTTATGCCCACCATATTAACGCCAATCCTTAACTGTGTGCCTTTGTTCACCCAGTAATGAATGGGTACCTGGTTGATAAAAGATTTGGCAGGTTGCTTAAAAAAAAAAAAAAAAAAAATATCAAGCCTTCAGTAGCATGTCAAAGGTCTTTGACCACCACTTGGGAAATGCTTGACAGGTCATTAACCCTGTGGCATCCCTACCAGAGCCATAGATATTACCAGGAAGCAAATAAGCACTAATATAAACATATGTTAAGTATTTGCCAACATGAAACCTTGTACATCTTTGCCAGACTGTCTCGTATGTGGCTCGCTCCATCAAGGCAAATAGAATATCTACAACTTTCATGGAAAGTGCTAGTGACTATGAAATATGGATATATCTGTAGTTGCATCGACACAAACGTTTTTAAACTAAGTAAGGCTTAGGTTTTTTTCTTTGCATGTGAATATATTCCTCACCAAGAAAATTACAATGGAAAGGATATGAGAGGTATTGCAGAAGATACCAGATGACCAGGTGCAAAATGTGCAACAAAATAACATACAGGAGCAAAAGATGTACTGTATATTGGATGTGAAATTGACCTAGCTAAAAGTAGGAGCCATAGGTACAATCGGAGAACACTACGAATAGAGGTCCACAACTTGTCAACCGCTTCCTACCAAATATGAGAAATATTGAGAATCTGCAGGAGCTGTGAGGAGGATTTGAACGTATGCTCTGCATATTCCCAAGCAATTTTTTTGTTCTCGTTGATACATCACGATAATGGGATTTCTTTGTGCATAAGAAATATTGCCTTTACACAAATGTGGATGCATTGAGAAAATTTGACAGTTCCTGAAGGAAGTGACCAAACCACCCAGCTAGTAACGGATTTATAGGCCTGTGAGCCACTTCAAGCAACAGCCTTTTAGATAAAAAACAAAGAGACAAGCCTAGACTTAGGCTTGGAGTTGAACAAATGTGTAGACTGTAGGCAAGACAGTAGTAAAGTTCATAATCCTCTCATTTTCTTGTGAATCACTACTTATACAAATTGTAGTGAGATGTTACTGTGTTTAGTTCTGCTACTACAAAAGCTATTGTTTAAACTTTTACCTGGTCTCAATAGCTGAACTTTTTCCTTTTACCTTTTCAGATCATCATGCATGTACGGAACGTGCTGTCTTGTTGGCAAGACGTACACAATTGGCTTCCTTCGGTTCTGTAAGCAAGCCACCCTCCAGTTCTGCCTGGTTAAACCTGTTATGGCCTTCATTACTATAATTTTGCAGTTCTTTAACAAATACCAGGATGGTGATTGGAGGTAAGTACTGTGTTGCCTTTTCCAACCTTAAAGTAGCCTAGCAGTCTTGTGACAGTACACAAGTGTTAACAAAATAATTAGGGGCCACCACAGTAGGTTAGACGAACCATAAAATTCGACACCTTTGTTAAGGGTCTAGAATATAGCGAAAAGTCGTACTTTTTTTGTCTTTTTTTTTTTTTTTTTTTTTTTTTTTTTTACTAAAATCGACTTGCTCTTTCCATCTGCATGTATACTTTAGCCCTGACTGTAGTTCAGGATTAAACTCTGTATATATACACCCAGAAGTGGGGTACTTGTCTCTCGGAATATATCCTTTCCACAAGGTTTAGGAACGTGAATTTAATGTGCAAGTTAATACTGAAACATCCATTGACTTCTAAAATCACTGCACATCATATTGGCAATGCACAGTACACACTACTATAGATGGAACAGGATGTATAATTATATTCCAGGAGCAAATCCAGTGTCAGGCTTCCAAAGCACAGCCTCAATATTCACAACTCGACTTCAAACATTAACCCCTAACCTGTGCAAGGATTACCCAAGGCAATATCTATGTGCGAAGAAATTTATTGGTGTTCCTACGTTAAACACAATCCTCAGAGTATAGGAAAAATAACCCAAAATTTTATCTTGTATCGAGTGTAGTGAACACCCAATGAGGTGATAATGTTCAGTATGAGGCTGGCCACCTAACCGAGACGCTATTGGAATCATCAGTCGTTTCCAGGCTTCGCTGCTTACAGCTCAACCTTAACTTTGAGAGAATGAATTTACAAAAAATCTGCACTACAGGGTTGTGGGCTTGAACTCCATCCTTCAAACTAGCCACCTGTGGGCACGGTGAACTACCCTTGAGTTTTGTTAAAGTTTGCAGGTGTTTTCGGGAGGGATTGGGAGGTATTATGCACACTATGGGTTGAACATCTGAGGGTATTATGCTCAGGGTTAAACAAATAATGATAATGCAGAGAATATCACAATAATGAGGCTGAAATAAATAACCCAACCCACACACGAAAGGAAAGTGACGAGGCTTTGGTCCATCCTGGACCTTTATCTGGTTGACAAGCAGGTGTGTGAGGGTCATTGTAAGGCAATGTACACAAGCTTCTAGTCTTGCGTGGGAATGAAAACTGGAATTGAATTCAGTTGAGCCAACTGTGCTGACACCAGCTCTGTCATTGACATTCTGCTTTTGTACATTATGCACCTTTACCTTATTTGAAGTCTGTATGGGGTGTATTAATTTTTGTTAATTCTTTTACAGTCCTGAAGGTGGATACTTGTACATCACGATCATTTACAACATCTCGGTGTCGCTGGCCCTGTACAGCTTATTCCTCTTCTACTTTGCTACAAGAGACTTGCTGCAGCCATATGAACCTTTACTTAAATTCTTTACCATAAAATCGGTTATCTTTTTATCATTTTGGCAAGGCGAGTACAAGGCGTGTTTATGATAACTGTTATCAAAATTGTATTGAACTTTTACATTTTATTAATTACAGTATGGTTAAAGTTTTGTTTTTGTTTTATACCATGTATTTGTGTGTGTATTTGGTGCCAGATGTACTTTTATTTTAACCATGAAGTTGATAAACAAATTTTATTTCAGGAGTTCTCTTGGCTATTCTTGAAAAGGGGAAAGTTATAGAAGGCAATCCGACCCTAAACACGGGCACGGTGTCTGCTGGCTACCAGAACTTCATCATTTGCGTGGAAATGTTCTTCGCCTCGGTGGCTCTTCGCTACGCCTTCCCTTACCAGATATACGGAGATTTTACTGTGACTGGACCTGGTCGTAGTGTTACCATGCAGAGCATCTCGTCATCACTGAAGGTATAGTACGAGAAATTGTCCAAATATAGTTTGCACCTTTTCTACAGCAGATCAGCAGCAGTTATAGAATACACTGTACTGTGTACAGTAAACAGTGAAGCCAAAGGGGCTGACAATTAGTACAGTACAGTACAGGTACATGCAAAAGTACAAAATATTTTTTATATTAGTGAAATGCATTGATAAGTGTTACACTAATTGAATTTGTACTCTTATTTCTTAATGGAGTAATACATTCCCAATTCTTGTCAAAGTAATGCTGTCCATAAAAATACTGAAGACATAAGATGGGATCAAACCCGCATTCCTGAACTTCTTGAGCACGCGCACACTGCCGACAGGACAGTGATGAGCCTTGAAGATTTTAAATGTCTCGTGTTTTAAAAATGGATCCCATTTTCTAATTTTTTAACTTATTAATTTCTCATCACTTGTTTGGAAATGTAGCATTTTTATCCCCTTGGATATCCTCAGTAATGGGATTCATTATAGGTTTAAACTTTCCACTCGATTTCCCGACAATGCCTAGTTGTACTCCCTGAGCAATTGACAATGCAACGACGAATAAATTCTTGAAAACCTTGATTAAACGTTATCCGGGCATGGTTTTTCCCGCTGGGTTATTCAGTTGAAGGGTTTATCTCTGCAGTGTTGCAATAATACCAGACAACATTTCACATTACAGTAAATACAGGTTAGATGTTCTAAAAATTTCAGGACCCAGAAAATTTCTTAGACAATTTTACAAATTATATAAAAAAAATCCTTCATTTTATTTTTGAATGCAAGCAAGTTGCGATTTGCTCAATTTTAGATATTGTAACCAGTGTTGCATTAGTTTTGAGCAACTGCTGAACATTACTTTTGAATTCAGCATTTGCACATTGTAAACATTAAATTGTTCATTATTGCAGTGTTGAACTGTTATTTTAAAATGCAAATTTATTTACTGCAGTCACAATAGGGAAAGTGGTTATCTTTGAAATTTTCTTTTGACACAGGAAACCATGAACCCGAAAGACATCATGACAGATGCGATCCACAACTTCCATCCGCAGTACCAACAGTACACCCAATATAGTGCAGGTATGATCATTTGTGCCGTGTTGATGAAAGATTGGCCATTTGCTCCTCTAGTTACCGTTTCTCTTGGACTGCTCGCCTAAATATCAATACTGCGGTGCATATGGAAAAAAATTGTAAAAAAAATAATGGGGAGGGGGATTGTATATGGCAATTTTCATACAGGAGGTAATTACAGATAATGATTGGAGCAGTGAGAGGGTTAGTCACAGATAGGGACTAGGGCAGTGCAAGGCCTACAGTGTAGGCCTATAGTAAAAGTTAAATATTGTTTTCTACTTGTATGTTTTAGGGAATGCAGTATAAATTGCATACAATTATGAATTTTTTAAAGGGTTGAATTTGCTTGCTTGCTTTAATTTCAGTGTGTTAAATTGAATGATAAGCATGTCCACTATGTAGCCAGTGGAGAGTTGTTGACAAACACATCACAAGGACAATGTGCTTGTTAACTGTTTTATATAATTTTTACTTCAGTATCCCTAAACATGCAGAGAACAGGTCACAACATGGCTGAAAAATAACCCAACCCCTACACGTGAAATGATCACGACGAGGGCCCAGCTCGGACCGAAAGGTCGTTTTCGTTGTTTTATATGAGGGGTGGGGTTCTCTGTTTTTAACAGCATGATATAACTAAAATATACAATTAAATTGGATATGCTATTATTGCAAGGCAGTTTATACCTGTGTGTTCATATGAAATGAGGAAATTTATGATAACTGTCCCTTCAGCTTTAAAACTGTTGACATAGTTTACAAGATCACATTAGAAGAAAATATTGTAATGTCTTGGTTTTTATTTCTTGGCTAAATAGACTGGCATGTGGTGTAAAATCAGATTTAATAGTTAGTGTCATTTTACATTATATACATACATGCACATACACACATACTACAGCTTTCTTGAATATACGTTGTTGAAAAATGTTAATGAACAGTTGGCTCGTACTTTTATGCTGGGACGGTTCCGTTGACTCCTTGGTGTCATTGCCAACACGTTCAATCCTTGCTACCTTGTACAGTGTCCTGATTTTTGGGATGCTAAGGTCTTACTATGCCAGTGTCCTTTAACATCACTAGTCTTGTGTATTTTTGCTCTTGTCCTAGCTCTCATGCAGGACACCAATACATTTTTGATAGTTCTGTGCCACAGTGCTCAAGTTTTCTATGCTTGCCACCTGCTTTTGATAATCTTTACAAGAACTTTATTTCAAGGGTGCAACTTTCCCAAGGTTGCATCCTTGGGAAGGCCCTCTATAAGCTGAAGTATTGTACAGGCTTCTGTCTCTGACAACAAGACTTTTATGGGTTTTCCATATTCAGAAAATAAAATCGATGTTCATATGCACTGCATGTAAACTACTGTAGTAGTTAATAAAGGATATTGAAACATCTGAGATAAATGGTAACAAAAAATAGTGCCTAGTAAACCTGATAGTTTTCTGACCACTATAAAATCAATTAGTGAGGATTAATGGAGTACATCTTCCTAGGTTGCCACAAAATTTGATATCGTTCACCGTAAAAAAAAAAAAAATTAAGTTGGAAAAACAGGCTTTGGTAAGTGGAAAGGTGATAACCTGAGGAAGTGTGAGGACAGTGACACGGCAAGTGGGGTCATGCAGATATAAACACTTGAGTCCTTAATGACTTGTGTAAATAACATACCGAAGGAGGTAGGGTCGTGAGTGATGATTTTGAAGATGATTCTTAAACAAGAAGGTGCAAGGACCTAAGAGGCCTCCACGAAGATAGAGGTTAGAGATGCTGGCAAGCAAATATACTGGAGTGTAGCTTTTATGCTGATCCAGGTGCTGTATGCAATTTTCATCCCATTTGATTTATTGTAGTAAGACTCGCCTCAGTGAAGTACTTTTCAACGGCTGTGCTCTTTAGGGGTTAATCCCAGGGAATATAAAGTAATGATGTTTGGGATAGACCAGGAGGATATGTTATGAAGAACGTAGTTGTAACTAAAAAGAGGATGGTACGTGACACTAAAGAGGTAGATTCAAAATAAATATTTTGACTAATGACAATACACTGCTGCAAAAATAGGCTAAGAAAAGATAGCTTGTATACCTGTATACCTCTAATGCCTGCCTTTTACAGTATGTGAACACAACAAAATAATGTTAATAGCATAAAAATTAAAAAGCATAAAAATGTTTTTAAAAAATCTGTACCGAATTGGCCTAAATGCAGTACTCAAGCTATATTAGCTTACTTCTAGAGTATGTAGTAGCTCCAGCATGTCTCCTGCACTTTTAACAGAAGAAAATTAGATGTCTAACAATGTGAGGCAACTAATAACAGACAAGAACACCCTACTGGAACTAGGCCAAGGGAACTAAATCTACCTTTAAGAGCACCATGAGGCAATGTGCCAACATAACATCTAAGGTTGGACAAAACGGAGAGATGGTCTTGAGAGGGACGGATGAGAGGGGGAGGGGGGGTGTCACAGGTGAAAGACAGACAAACCCGAGACATGAATGAAAATAGTCTGCAGCAAGTGGAGGTACAACGAACTTCAGTGAGGGTGTTCTTTCCCCAGTGCCGCTCACGTGCCCCATGATGGAATCCTTGGTGAATCCATTTTTTTATTTTTTTTTTATCCCTCATGATACATAGGGATGGTGGAAGTATTTAGTATTTGTGCCTGCAGAATTGGAGCTAATAGCTCTTGGACCCCTGCCTCATGTGGCCATCATTCACAGCTTAAAGAAAAAAGTTGTCAAAGTACAATACTGAAAAAGGTATAAATTGACCAGATTCAGTAATGGCAGGATGAAGCTCAAGAGCCAGATCTCATGCTTGTGTAAATACAACTAGGTAAAGTCTACCAAGCAAGCAACAGCCTGTTGGACCAAACTCTCATAAGTCAAGCCTGGCCTCGGGCCAGGCTTGGGGGAGTAGAACTCGCAGAACCCCATCAAGCATGTATCAAGCAAGCACACATGACTGGGAGTTGACTATTGTACTTGTAATCAAGGAATTTATGGCATGTTTGTCTTAAAAATTCTCAAATATAAAATATTTGAGACAGGAAAAGACTTTGATGTAGATTGATTGAGGTATGGTCAAATTATACACAAGCTGATTTGACAAGGATTGTTTAAAGTTTAAACCATATATATTGTTAGGATAAGATGAGTTATATTAGGCAGTGTTAAGCTCGTTAGATTTGTTTGGGTTTGGCTAGGTAGACTTAGAAACTGTTTGCAAACATTCTTGTGTGTAGTGGGACTTTAATCACGATTGATTGGTTCCTTCAGCAGTTTAGTGTTACACACCACACATGCGCGCACACATGCTTGATGCCACTATGAAGTGGCATCAAAGGTGGTGATGGGAATGAGTGCAAAGAAATCAAAATGTGAAGAGGTACGATAGAGTACAGATCAATCGGTAGTCTGTGTATGGGTTTCTCTCGTGGGCCAATATGGATGCTGGTAAACATGAATAAAGTGCAAATTCAAAAACATTTCATGATTTTACATTTATAATAGTACAGGTATACTCAAAATTACAGTAAATTATTTACCCATCATAATTATAGTATAATGTACTTCAAAATTGTGTAATTATAATACTGTCTAATCTTGATTTAGACTTCGTTTATCGGGCATAAATACAAATCATCACAGTTGTGCCTTAATTACTCTTGTTTAGGGACTGAATTTAACTACACAGTAAAAGTTGAAATTCCTTTGTATAGATACGTAGCGAGTAATGTTGGACTAACTTTAGTGTCTGTCTTAGCATGCTGATGGATTGAGGTTTTCTTATCTGCCTGTGTGTGTTATTTGTAAGACTTTACATTTTTTGTTATTTATCATTTATTAGTTTTTAAAGAAACTTTTGCACAAAATTTAAATTCTTTTCTTGCATAAAGTTCGTGTTGGTGCATCATAACGAATGGCTTCAAACTTCAGTATTTCAAAATGTTAAAGAAACTGACTTGGATATGTTTGGTATTTAAAGTATGTTCAAAATATTATGAAGTATGGGGCAGTGTCCACTCTTAACGTAAATTATTCTGTGACACTTGTGCTCGCTATTCAGGGAACAACTCGGTTAGTGCTCGAGTGTTCCTTCAGGAACTGGAACACGAGTTGGTGGCTGTCAGAGGTTTGTGTTCCGCTTTTAAGTCGACAGTATTTTTGCTGTGTTAGAAGCGCTGGCAGTGTAATGGATTATAATTTTGATAGAAATTCTGGTTAAGTACTTGCTTATTTGTGAAGATTGAGCATGATTGAGAAATTTTTATAATGTGTATTTGGTGAAAGTTTCAATAATGATGCTGAAAGTTAATGCTGAATATGCACGTGTGGAAAAGTAAAATGATGTTTTGGTGTGTCCAGGACCCTTAAGAAGTAGTGATAAGGGTCCAGGAGGGATCAAAACCTCAACACTTTCATCTCATGAGTGCCCGGAGCTTTGCTTCAGCTTTGGCCGGGGAGGATATACCGAGCGCCAGTCCTTAACTGTGTGCCTCTGTTCCCCCAGCAGTGATTGGGTATCTGGTGGTTAAACGAATTGGCGGGTCATATTCCAGGGAAAAATTAGCATTAAGGACCTGCCCGAAACACTATGTGTTCTAGTGGTTTTACAAGAATGTTCAAATTACAATTTGAATATTCTTCAAAAATGTATTTGCTTTAATACTATCTTGGTCCCATTTTGTATCCAAATCATAGCAAATGTAGCTCCTCATAATTGTACTTAATGACTGCTATACAGTTGATATACACACAATTGGAGTATATATTGATATAAGAATGTGATGCAACTTAAATTTTAAGTTCTGAATATTAAATACATGCTGTACTACATAGTTAAAAGCTTAGATGTAACTCGTGCTTGGCTAAAGTTCATACTTTCTTTGCTAGCATATTGTGCTATACTATTTGAGCTGCTATTATTATTTTAATGGTGTACCATGTGTTGGTTGTGATGTGCTGAATCACGTGTGCAGACTAAATATTATGACAAATGCTTGTACTGTATATTATTAATAGTTGTGGTTTGGTAATGGTTGATTACTGATATATTTAGGCTTTTCACTCGTCTGTTCAAAACTTTTAGCGATGTGTATCTTATCGCTAGATGTGTACTAACTGCTTATCGACAATGCTACGCGAATAGGGAAAATGTCTTGGATGACCGTCGTGTCCTTCAAGATGACCGGGACAAAATTAGTGAATTGAGCAGCACGTGGAATGCAATGTGAATACATACCACATTATGGAACGTAGACTAGGAGAAAATAAGCCCCACACAACCTACAAATGACATGAAAGGACATAAAATAACTGATAAAGATAGACGTAGGAATGGTTTGGTATAGGAAACAGCCATCAATGGACCACATAAGGAATATTGTGTAAGAAGACTATGCTACCCTTTCCAACTTCAGGATGTTTCTTCCTTAATAAAATACTACACAAATTGACTTTGAAGTATTAAAGAATCTGTTACAAAGTCTTGAGACCCAATTGGAATATGCCGTGGTTGTATGGTGCCCATATCGCAAGAAGCATATCAATGAACTAAAGGGTGCAAAGACATGCTACTAAATGACTTCTAAGAGTTGGAAAAAAGATCCGCAAGGAGAGGTTGGTGGCGTCAAATACGTATGCTAAAGCTAGAAGATGGAAGGAAATGAAGTGATATGATCATTACATAAAAAAAAAGAAAAAAATGAACAAAATATGGTAATTTTTTAAGCCTGCAACTTAGAGCGAGAAAGTCCATAGATTTGAGCTGAGGAAAAAGTCTAAGTTCTCTAATGCAGAGTTGTAGATGTTGGAATAAATTAAGGCGGTGGAGATCAAAATGATGAGTTTCAGCATCATGGAACAAGACTACTGGGAAGATGGGAAATGACAAGTGGTGCTCTCGCCCTGTAACTAGTCACTGTAATACTGTATCGGTAAATATGGCAGTAAATGGGACTTAAGTGTAGTCTCTGAATTTCTTCATGCACCACCCACTGTACCAGGATGGATTTAAAGCCTCAACCAAAAGTTCTATTAGACTTGCTTGCCTTCCCGGTTTGGTGCCTCCTTTTTTATAATTACTTACTTAGACTTGCTTGGAGTATGGAAGGCAGCAGTTGGTAAAAAAAACAATGTGATGGGAGCACGCTCTCCTCAGTGGACTCCTCGGTTCCATTCAATACCAACGTCTCCATGATGGGCTGATCACGGTTCATTGGTAATGCACGTATCTGGGGGAGTCCCAGGGCTAGATTCGCGAAGCAGTTACGCAAATACTAACGTGTACATCTTTCCTCAATCTTTGACGGCTTTGGGTTACATTTATTAAACGGTTTATAAGCGAGAAACCTTCCCAATCAAGTGTTATTGTTATAAACAGCCTCCTGGTGCTTCGGAGCTCAGTAACTGATTAATAATTATAAACAAAGCCGCCAAAGATTGAGAAAAGATGGACAGGTTCACAAGTGCTTGCGTAACCGCTTCGTAAATCTGGCCCCAGGAATAACAGTTCTAGTCCACTGCTTGACCTCAATAATTTCTCCCATAAATAACATTGATTTCTTACACACCAACAGGTACCCAATATCCAATCCCCTGGTCGAGATACTTTTACCCCCTCATGGTACAATGGGTAGTGCATGGTTCCGAGGAGTCCAGAGATGAGAGTTCAACCCAACACGGTTGTCATAATATTTAATAATCTTTGAATATCACTACGGAATGTTGATTTGCATAAGATTTTAAAGTTAAAATAGTATTTTTGAGAATGTACTAAAGACCTAAGGTTTTGTTCACATGTAAAAATTTATTCTCTGGGAAGTGTGCGACACCTTTAAGGGCCAAAGGGTTTAGTGGCAAACTAAATTGACCTGCTTTGTGTCTTGAGCGAGTCATATATATTAACATTTTCCTGCTTGCTTAACACAAGTAGTGTTTATATATGTGGCCAAACTTGGTCAATTGCTTATTCAAGTAAAGAGAGAACTGGACTGTTTTCTAAGAAGTTCCGGATCAGCCGGGCTGTGGTGGGTATGTGGGCCTGCAGGCCGCTCCAAGCAGCAGCCTGGTGGACCAAACTCTCAAGTCGAGCCTGGCCTCGGGCCGGGCTTGGGGAGTAGAAGAACTCCCAGAACCCCATCAACCAGGTATCAAGCTTAGATTTCTTATGCCTAGATTTCCATGCCTTTTATGTATACACATGCACCACTAGACTCGCCATTGTTTAACAAATCGTACAGTGTCCCCATACTTGTACAATAAGATTGTTTACATAAATTTATTAAACACTTGTTAGGAATTTTGCATCAAATTTAAACTTTGAAAATACAAAAGGTCCATTGTACATGCAATCCATATTTAATCTGGTATGTTTTATCCAACTCACTTTTGATGCTGGAAGTATTGTAAGCATTTCAAGGTAACTATTATAATTTGGGGAACTTTTTGCATCTGAATCCAAAGGATTAACTGTGCTGTTAAATCAAATTGAGGATTATTGTTCATTTTTTAATAATTTTGTTAGTGCTAGCAATATTATGAAAATTCAATTCTTCATGCACTTATGTACACTTGCAAACCTATTCGTACATGTGGTTTTTATATATACATGCAAACCTATTCATACACAAACATACATGCATTTATACACACATGTACACACCTAAATACATATGCACATTCTTTGAAAGAACTGAGAAATAATGACTGGAAAATGAAACTTGGTTAGGCGAAGGTGGCCGGCCAACACAGGTACTTACGCAGAGCCACGATATGGAGGAGCTTCGACCAGACCTATTGCCAGTGTCGTCGACCACTCCTAGCACCGGGACCTTTGACACGGGCCCCTCCCCTACCCCTGCCGCTACCAGTAACGGCAGCAGTGGCTCTGTAGTGGGTTCTGGCGTCAGTGTCATCTCCCTGGCAGCACCTTCACAGCAGTCTCAGCAGCCTGGGAAACTTCCACCGCCGCCCTCTAAAGGTGCCGTGCCTGAGGGGGTGACTCGCACCGTCACGTCACTGGCCGCTAACTCGCCACAATTTTCTCCTACGTTTGTCAGTGAGGCTGTCACCAGGGAGTTGGGATTTACACTAATACAGAATAAATATTTCTGGGGGTTAAATAAATTTAAATATACTTCTGTAGTTGTATAAATACATTTCAATATGTGGGAGATGAATTTATAATTTTTCTAATGTTAAATATGAAATAATACTTTAGAATGAATTATATTTCAAATTTAACGAGTTTTAATAACCGGCGGTGGTAAATGGCTCTGGCAGGGTAATGTATTGGTCATAAACATTTCACTCCACATAATTAAATATTCGTACTTTGAGCACGATCATCTTTGTTCCACCGCCCTGCTGACAGACCTCATATAATAGTACTGTATGTATGGCACATTTGTAAGTGTGAACATGCTAAAGAGTAACTTTCATTGTTATGCACATTGAATTATGCTTTTCAGTGACAAAATGTCCATTCTGTATAAAGCAGGAGTAATGTATGTTGTGCAAGCATTTAAGGTCAATACCAAAGGCATTTTCATACTTGCCAAGACTTTCGTGCTGGTTGATGGGTTGCTATGGTCTCTTGGGCATTTTCTATCTAATTGAAGGTCCTTCCAGATTCTGAAATTTTCCATGGGTTCTTACTTCTGTCTTCAGTTGCTGGCTTTGTATGATGCTCTGTAAAGTGATGGTTTAATGGCTATGAGGTTGGGAAGTGCCCCTTTTATTATACAGTATACATAATGGAGAATGTTACAACTTGACTGAGCATTTAATAACCAAACCCACAGATATGAAAAGATATGTGGCGGCGTTTTGGCCGGACCGAGACTGTCGCCCCTTACCTTTATTATGTGCGAGGGTTGGGTTAATACATAGTGAAGTAATAGTGCAATGTTCCTACAGTGGTTGTCTTAGTGTATTGTGGGTATAAGTAATTGTAAATAATCTTCTAATGTCTTTGTAGTATTTGCCTTTTTCTTTTTAAACTCTTTTTAACATTAATGATTTACATGTATCTTGTTTCATTAACAGGAGAACGATGTCCACATCTACAATCCTTTGTTTAAACCTGGGTTTAGCATGTTTATACATATCTTTGCTTGTTTGTGCTTATAACCGGTGCAGTCTTAAACATGTGTGTACAAATTTTATTCCTATACATGATTATTCCTATAAGACTTTTATTCCTATACATGTACAGTATTAAATAACTACGTTGTACAGAGGCCACACATAGCTGTATGCAAGCACTGGTATTGATTATTTTCTTTAGTTGAAAATGGTGCACTATTTTATTTAAAATGTATTAAACATAATTCATGAACAGCCATGTCCTATATAAATCACCATATATATTTTTCCACTCTTAAACTGTGGCATCCTTCAGGCAAGATAACCTATCTGTTTCCTTGTCTCTCTCTCTCCCCCTCCCTCTCTCCCCTGTCTCTGTCCCTCCCTCCCTCTCTCCCCTGTATCTGTCCCTCCCTCCCTCTCTCCCCTGTCTCTGTCCCTCCCTCCCTCCCTCTCTCCCCTGTCTCTGTCCCTCCCTCCCTCCCTCTCTCCCCCCCTCTCTGTCCCTCCCTCCCTCCCTCTCTCCCCCGTCTCTGTCCCTCCCTCCCTCCCTCTCTCCCCCGTCTCTGTCCCTCCCTCCCTCCCTCCCTCTCTCCCCCGTCTCTGTCCCTCCCTCCCTCCCTCTTTCCCCTGTCTCTGTCCCTCCCTCCCTCTCTCCCCTGTTTCTGTCTGTCCCTCCCTCCCTCCCTCCCTCCCCTGTTTCTGTCTGTCCCTCCCTCCCTCTCTCCCCTGTTTGTCTGTCCCTCCCTCCCTCTCTCTCCCTGTTTCTGTCCCTCCCTCCCTCCCTCCCCCTCTCCCCTGTTTCTGTCCCTCCCTCTCTCCCCTGTTGTCTGTCCCTCCCTCTCTCCCCTGTTTCTGTCCCTCCCTCCCTCCCTCTCTCCCCTGTTTCTGTCCCTCCCTCTCTCTCCTACCCTCCCTCTGTTAGCCTTTAAATTCTGTCAGTTGGTGTAGAGCCAATCCAGTGGGCAGAGCGCCTCATGACGTCATTCTTCGGAGCATGCAGTAGCCTCCTTTCTAGTCAGCACGTCAGTTCCTCCCAGACCTAGCTAGAGGCAGGACTCCTTGGACCTTGATGAGTCGGATATTTATGCTACCACAACTAATAGTCAAGAAGTTCTACTTGTGTGATATTCAAAGACCCTAAGAAAGATCTACTCAAAAGGATGTAATAATACAAACAAAAGAAAACGGAACACACGCAATGCCTTCCCTGTCTCCCTCCCCCCACTTCCTGTCTGTTCCTCCCTCTCACCCCTGTCTGTTCCTCCCTCTCACCCCTGTCTGTTCCTCCCTCTCACCCCTGTCTGTCCCGCCCTCTCACCCCTGTCTGTCCCGCCCTCTCACCCCTGTCTGTCCCGCCCTCTCACCCCTGTCTGTCCCGCCCTCTCACCCCTGTCTGTCCCGCCCTCTCACCCCTGTCTGTCCCGCCCTCTCACCCCTGTCTGTCCCGCCCTCTCACCCCTGTCTGTCCCGCCCTCTCACCCCTGTCTGTCCCGCCCTCTCACCCCTGTCTGTCCCGCCCTCTCACCCCTGTCTGTCCCGCCCTCTCACCCCTGTCTGTCCCGCCCTCTCACCCCTGTCTGTCCCGCCCTCTCACCCCTGTCTGTCCCGCCCTCTCACCCCTGTCTGTCCCTCCCTGTGTGTCGTTCGTTCTACAGCTGCTGGCTCTGACGGCATTCATTGAGATGCTTCACCATCTCCCTTAAGGTGTCTCATGGTATTTCAGTATTTACTGAATGTTTATAATCTTATTTGGGAGATGTCAGTTCTTGAAGACAGGCTTGAGGTCGTTGTTTTTCCTATTTGGAAACTTAATACTCTAGGGACATCTAAGGATTTTCATCGCACTGCCTCGACGAGTTGTGTTGCAAGCTTTTCGAACATATGGCCAGTGTCAGTCTTGTGTGGTTCTTGAGACGCTATCCCTTTTCTCTTCCCTTCTCAAATTGAGTTTCCCAATTGTCTCGGCACGACATTCATTTTGGTGGCATGAGGCTTTCATGCGCTCTGCCTTTGCTGCAGACACCTTTTGGTGGTTGTTCTTTTCAACTTGGAAGAGGCTTGAGACACCCCTTGGAGGTACAATATTTTGTCCCAGCTTCATTCTGTGGCCTTTGTGGCAATTTCCTGCTTTTCCTTTCTAGCGTCCTCCCTTATTCTTTTAAATGAGACTTGGTGCTGCCTTCTCTACCTCTTTTTTTTTTCCCCCCAGAGTAGTGTTCTGAGCGTTACTCTTCTTCATTGCACTTAAGTCTTGCTTCCTTCTGTCCCCTATGACATTTTATCGGTCCTTTCTCTTTGTTCTCGCCCTCTGTTGTTGAGGGGGAGGGAGGGGGGGGTTGACTTCCCTTTCCTCCAACACCGGCTCTAATTTGTGACTAATGCTGTGTCGTCTTGGGCCACCAATCATGGCTGAAAGTTCTCTTTATCTAAGACTTGTGCTTTTACTTGGAGGCAAGTCGGTCTTCGTGCCCCATTGTCATTCTATGGTAGTCGCCCTTCTCTATAAAGATTCTGCTACAATTTTTGGGGTTGATTGTTAACATTTGTCACCCTATATGTTACCTTAAAGTTGAATGTTCTAAGGCCCTTACATTACTTTGGTGCTTAGTCCCGTACTTACTGGGGTGCTGACAGGTGCATCAAAGCCGGGCTTTGATTGTTGCCCCTCTGGTAGGGTCTATTCCCTTTCACCACCTTCCTTTTTCTATACATACATGTTGCTTAAAAGCCTACCTCTTGGTTTGTGTTTTCAATGCCTCGTATTGTTCCAACCTTGCCCTCATGGAGACTGAAGTGTTGCAAGACTTTGACCCACATGGTAAAGGCTTTTACCCCTCCTTTTGTTATGAAGCACCTTTTTTGAATATTTTTCTTTGCCCTCAAATTTTGCCCATCTTCAGAGACAAGTGCAAGTCTGCCAATGGTGTTGGATACTGTGTGGCCTTTCCAGACCAAGCTTATATGTGCAGCCCCTCACTGGAGGCTAGCATCTCCTCGGCTGAACCGTATGCAACTTTGTATGCTCTTCGTCAACTGCTTTTCCTTCGACAATGCTCCTTTTGCCATTGGGGTTAACTGTCGATGCTCTCGTGACTCTGGAATAATTGTCATATGCATCCTGTGGTAGTTGAAATCCAATATTGGCTGTTTTTAATCGAGCAGATTCAAGTTTTGCTGGGCTTCCAGCCATATTGGCATTCCCTTAAATGAGCATGCAGGCACTGCTGCTAAGGAGGCTGTCTGCACTCGTTCTATTTCCCCCAAAAAATCCTTACTCGGATTTCCACCCAGTCAGTCATTCCTTGATCCATGAGCATTGGCAGGATTGTTGGTCATGTTACCAGTAACAAACTGCATACATTTAAGGGTTGCCTGACCCAGTGACCTTCCTCCTACCACCGTAACTGGCGGTGGAAAATGGCTCTGGCAGGGTTATGTATTTGTCATAAACATTTCATTCTGGGTACTTAATTGAACACCCTACTCCTTATTGTCTGAACTGCTTTGGCTCTCATAGTTGGCATCTCTTTGGCATCTCCTTGTTGAACATCCTGAAAATTGGGACAATCGTGTGTCTGTTTCCCAACTGTCCCTCGTGATCATTTGTCTCGCTCGATAGAATCTTTGGTGAATCCGATGCCTTCGATGTCGCTCACCTTGGGTGATTTTGTTCTTGTATTAGCATTCTCGGGGATTTTTAGCATGGTTTGAATATCTGGTGACACTGATGGTGCTACATAAGTTTTCCCACCTTAGTACTTTTTGATTTCTTTTGATACTTGCTTGGCCCATCATTGTAACTCGGCATGTCCGTTTTATTTACTAGACACAATTGCATTTAATTTGTCTTCTTGGATATATATCGGTAATAATTGTTCACAGCCTGTGTTATTCGACTGAGCTATTTACCATAAGCCATACATTCCTGTTGTTGTCTATGGTTTCCTAGTGTTGGTAACAAAACCTGTAATGCATACAGTATTGAAATCCCCCAGTCCCACACCACCCCGATAAACAAACTATTAACCTTATCTTAGGTTTTTTTTTTTTTTTTTTTTTTTTTTTTTTTTTTTTTTTTTTTTTTTTGTGTGTGTAACTTTCCCAATACAGTATTGGTATCCAAGTTTGTGAAAAGGAGAAATTTCATGCAGGTGAAGGGGTTTTACCTGTGTGAATGTTTTAAGCATTGCACGTTCCATGAACAGGTATAAGGGGACAATTGCCAAATTGTGCCAATTGCTCCAAGCGGACAGCACGCTGGACTTGTGATCCTGTGGTCCTGGGTTCGATCCCAGGCGCCGGCGAGAAACAATAGGCAGTTTCTTTCACCCTATGCCTCTGTTACCTAGCAGTAAAATAGGTACCTGGGTGTTAGTCAGCTGTCATGGGCTGCTTCCAGGGGGTGGAGGCCTGGTCGAGGACCGGGCCGCGGGGACACTAAAAAGCCCCGAAATCATCTCAAGATAACCTCAAGATAACCTCAAGAAATCAATAGCATGTTAATACAGTATAACCTGCTTTTAGAAGTTTAACAAATGTCAAAAGCTGACAGATGCTGTCAGCTATGTGGATGCCCATGTTAATGAATTTACAGCTTGGGATTTTAACCTCTTATTCAGTGTCGAAATCCACTTGCCATATTTGTCACTGTATAAAATGGACTTAGAGATTTTGTGTGTGAGGGGAGAGGGGGGGGGGTCTTTTTCAGCAAGTCTCATCATACTGAAGGTGAAGGTGATTTTTAAAGTACTGTAGTTTTGTAAGGGGAAAAAACAGGATTTTGTGCATGTAAATGCAATATACTGTACCGTGTATTTGGATGTTTCTGGACATGTCATATCCACTGGAAATACTTTTTATATAGACCATCCTTGATACTTGCTCAACCAAGCTTGCCCAACCACTTGGGCTGAACGGTAGGGTAACGGTCTCACTTCATGCAGGTTGGCATTCAATCTCCAACCGTCAAAGTGGTTGGGCATCATTCCTTTCCCCCGTTCCATCCCAAATCCTTATCCCTTCAAAGTGCTTAATAGTTGTAATGGCTTGACCCTTTCTCATGGTGCTACATAGCTTTCCCGGTTTGGTGCCTTCTATTGATAATTACTTACTCGACCCTTTCTCCTGATAGTTCCCGTTCCTTTGCTCAACTAAGCAGTTACTCATACTTATACCAGTCATACCTGGAGTGGTTTCTAGCAGTTTACTTTCCAAGCCAAGCCTGGGGCCAGGCTTGCCTTGTGATACTTGATCAAAGAAACTCTTGCTTGAAGCGGTTTGCAAGCAGGGCTGGCCTTTAGGACCTGTGGGTCCCATTTGTGAAACCATTAGGTGGATATATGGTTAGCTGTTAATGTACAAATATCACAGTACATCTAGTACATACAGATATGGGAAGCATCTTGGCATGATTGTATTAATCACAATAGATTAACTCTGGAGGCGTGTATTGGCGCACAATCTCTAGAGCTACAATATTTTGCTTGGTTGTGCACTTTTTTTCTCCCAGAACGGGAAAATGTTTTCCCAGTGTTCTTTGTGACGTGCCCTCTTGATAAAGTCCTCTGCGAATCTGTTTTCTTTAACATCGCTTATCTTTTTGCCATTGTATTGGCATGCTAAGTATTGAGGGTGCTAAAGTCTTCCAGGGTTGCTGCCTTCCTTGTATAAATACTTGACCAGCTTCCTTAGCTACCATAAGTTTCAGTACATAAGCATATAGATGGCCTATATTAAATTTACATACTATGCAATTCAGGCACTTAACACTTTTGGTACCTGATGCCGCTTTATCCGTCAAACGAAAATACGGAGTGGGTGGCACGATGCAAATGGCGTCAATAATTTAAAAATTTATTAAAGATTCCATTTGTCCAAATACTATGGGACTTGTTTTAAAATGTGCGCAAATGTTCCCATTTTTTGAAGACCTCCCAACGTGGCATCTGAACCCTGCCGTGTGGATGCCCACCTACGCTGGAGGCTCTGTTCTCGTGACCTCGCGCGTGACAGCCGCGGCCTCCCCTTGAGTCAAAAAGTTTCCCATTCGTTTTTATATCTGGTATTTGATTGTTTCTGGATTTATAAACATTGCTATAAACTTCCAGATGGATATTGCTTAAGAACAGAGCCAATCCATGACGAAAGCTTTAAAAGAAATGCGTACGAGGGGAAAAGTTATCGAGTTTTTGTCGAAAGTATAAAAAAGCGACATTTTCTTATATGCAAATATTCTTTTTACAGCATTCTATTGTGGACAATATGATACCAAATTGAACGATGTAGCACATAAATTGAGGTCAGAAAGCTGAAAGAGTATAAACATTCGTGGGTGGTGGCGAGTTAACGTGCCCCGCTTGGCCGATCTTGAGGTGCGCGGCGGGTCGCCTACCGGGACAGTGAAAGTGTTAAGAAAAAAATAAAAAATCGGTTATGTACATGATTTATCCCTGGAAAGAAATAGTTTACCCAGGGAAATGTTGAGCTTCTTGATTATCGCTTATAAAATCCAGTAGTTTATCATGTCGCCTTATAAGATGCATATAATTTAAAGATATTTTTTGAAAAGCAATTTTAGTAAATTTCATTATACATTTATTGAAGGAGATTTAAAATAGTTTTGTAAAGGAAAAAAAGGTATGAATTAATGCATGTAAATGCAATATACTTACAGCTCGTGGACCAAAAACACACATCCTATCCACTAGCAGATACAGTAATACCTAAGCTGAGAAATCTGCCGTTTCCTCTGCAGGTGTATTTTCTATTTTTTATATCGGCATAAAATTTAACTGATGTGCATGCTGTTAAGAATATAACACAACGTAACCACAAGAAATTGATGAATCAGAGTTCAAAGGCCATCTTTGAATCGATGCCATGTCCTTGAACTCCACGGGAGAGGGGGGGGCAGGATTCTTTGGGCACCTGTGCACTCTTGACAAAGAGTGTGCGCCCAAGGAGTTCGTGTGCGGGTTTGATTTTATTTCGTGGTCTCCATTTATTCAGGAATATAGTACAGTAATGTATGTTTAGATTTGGTTGTCAACCTCTGAATTTTAAGGTGACCTTATTCCCAATATATACTTGTAAAGATTTTAATTTTCATACATGAGTGAGGTGCATTTCAGTGATAAAGCCAGTTTCTAATCGAGAATTTCTAAAATTAAATTTTTATTGTATGGTAAAATCCACCTACAGTATTGAATTTGGATATAAAGTTAGGTACGTAAATCTTGTCATCCAAGGTATCGCCTCGGTTCCTGTGTACCTTTTCCATTGTACAGTTCTGTTTTACTAGATGTGGGTAATGTTGTTTGTTACTTTTTACTCGTGTGTTTCAGGCATCGTAGGAAAAACAGGTGTTCATTTTACTTTAAGAGTTATTCGCATTTCCATAAATTCTAATGTGAAATGAGGTTTCCAGTATTGTAGCATTTTCCTCACTTGCTCTGTTGCACGATTTTTGATGATTGAATTACATTTTGTCAGTCAAGTGTTATAAAATGTGTGGCCCCTGTGTAATGAATTTTGCAGAATGCACTTGTTTGTACTGAGTACATGCGTTAAAATGTTCTCTAATGCATGATCTGTTGGGCTAGTAGCATCGTGCTTTAATGCTTTATGTAGCTTTTGGTAGGGAATTTTATTTTTAAGTGCATTCAACTCTTGACGTACTCTGTTAAAGCTGTCACAAGTTCTTTTCAAGTTCATTAATGAAGCATGAAAACTATATTTGTGATTTGTTTAATATTTTGAGCATGGCTTAATAAAGTAACATTTGGTTTGTTTTAATTAAGCTTTGCTATTGGTTTATCTCATTGTAATTTTAACTCTGGCAGCAGAAGTTTATTCAGTCTAGTAAGATCTTATAAATTTTGGATGCCAAAGGAAAGTGATTAAATAAAATTTGATTCATCACAGGTGGAACTACGCGAGGCTCTGGCCACACTGCAGTAAGTACGTACGATGCTGATGAAGTTCCAAGGTCAAATGGAAACAATGGAATGGGTGGCGGAGGGATTGGAAGCGGCAACGGAGGAGTGGGTGGCAGATCCCTAAATGGTGGGCGGAATGGCAATGGACGTACAGCATACAATGAGAAGACAATGCTATTGAGTTCTGATGATGAATTTCAGTGAAATGAGTCCAGAAATGTATCCTAGGTGAGAGTTTTGGAATGTTCTTTGGAAGTTTATTAAAAAAAAAAAATTGTATTGAAAACTTACAGGTATTTATTGCTTAAATAAGATCTTTACGGTACCCCGGTCATTCTTAACACTGAACATCGATTGATTGTTGCCGCCGAAGGCGTCTAGTTTATTGTGCACCCCATACTCATCCTGCGAGCGGTAGTGCAAAAGCATTAGAGGGCACAAAAGGTCTTTATCAGACCTCATCTTAGATTATTACATAAACAATTTCTTCTATCCTTCACACCTTATAATTACAATGTCAGCTAGTTAAAGTGCTATTACAAGAGCTACATATTTACAGTAAGTCATCATACATTAATGGTAGGTCTTATCGCTAATACACAAGTTTGACCAATGGGGATATTACAGAGTCATAGGGGAGCTTCGGTTTATTATTAGTCCTCACAATACACTACTCGTTTCTCAATCTCATATGTCGTTCATCTACTGGAAGCGAAATGTGGGTACAGTGCAAGGATTTCAGGTAATTTATCCATGGTAATAAGATAGGTTGCCATATCATACAGAGTGAGCTTAGATTTATCTCTAAAAGGCTCAATTTTACTACAATCCAAGATATAGTGTTCGAGTGTGTAGACTATAATTATACATTTTTGTTGTATGCTATTATATAGTCCCAAAATAATACTTTAATTGTACACGACTCTGTAGTACAATGATTATGCAGCCTGGTACTATACTAGACTATCCTATATATATTTATCAGCATACTTAAGTATTGTATTTTGACTTGCTTTCAGGTTGGGAAGATGACCAGTCGTCTGGTGTTCGACAAGTCAAGTTTTTCTTCAGAAGCTCTTCAAGAAGTAAACCCATATGAAGCATCTCCCCCCCCCCCCCCCCCCCCCCCCATCCTCCCCCGTCAATTGGTGCAAGTACAGCTCCACCATAATTGCTTGGTCACATTTGTGCCGGGCTACAGTCCAGCAGGAGGAGGAGGATTCGTGTGTTTCTGGCCAGTTGTAAGTGTGTGTGTGTGTGCATAAATTCAATGCTATATTGATGCTAGTTAATGAAGTGTAGTAGTCCAATGAGGTAAATCTATTGGAATTTAAGTTTTTATTTTAAGCCTTCGGAGATCCTTTTGCACAGCATTTGAAAAGTACAGTACGTCACTATATTTTCTAGTGTATTAGATAAAATTTTTGGTAGTTCAATGAGCTACCTCATAAGCAGGTGCTAAAACCGGGTTGACACATTAGAAATTTCAGTTGATGGTAATGAGGAAAATAGACATGATATTGTACCTAGAAACTTGGAAGGATGTTTAGAAAACCTCACTTGTGTATTCGTAGTGGTGGTAAACACTACCACTTGTGTGCAGAGTACAGTAGTAACAAGTGGCACCTGGTTGATGGGGTTCTGGGAGTTCTTCTACTCCCAAAGCCCGGCCCGAGGCCAGGCTCGACTTGTGACTCTTGTATATAAAGTGGTAATTTGAATAATACTTTGAGATTGATCCCAGGAAACTGAATTTTGGTGGCAGCGTGCTTTACCGATATAGTTGTGCTACTTCGCGTGGAAATGAGGTGACAGTAATGTACCTATTGGGACCTTGTTCTTCTGTACCTAATTTAATACGAAGGTTTAACGGTTAAATTAAACCAAAGAGTGGCAAAGCATTTTAAATCAGTTTACCTGGACATTTTCAATTCTGATTGACTTGTATATTAAATGCCACTTGTATTTATTTGTGGAATCATTGGATTAAATGTTTGTCACGAACCTGGTGGTGTGATTAAGAGACAGACAGAACCAATTGTTTTAAATTTTTGAACCCCAGAAAGTATTAAATTCGTTTGTCACGTGTGTTAATATTTGTATTTTATGTAGTAAAATAAAATTGCTTTAGTCATTGGAGATGTGGTACATTGCTGAAAACTTAAGTGGAATTTAAAAAAACTTATTTTAAATATATTAACTGCTATCTTGGCAAGATTTGGTATTTGCTTGTGAAATTATGTCGTCTGGTCTACAATTTGCAATATAATAGAAATAATGCACTTCAGGTTCTTTTAAAGGTTTAAAGTCCACTTAAAAGAAATTTTAGATGTTACATAAATGCTTGAGCATTACAAAACCACAAGGGTAATAAAGGTGGTTAAAGTATTGTAGCGCTGCCTCAAAATGGCCATTTTCAGGCAGTGTCCCAAAGCCAGGAAGAGCTCTCATAATGTGTAGTTACATCAGACACGGGGAAAGGTAATAAGAGGGATACATTGTTCTGTATTATCCATAGTAAACCATATTGAATGTGTGATAATTGAAGATAATGCAACTACTAAACGTGTAAGTTGGTAATGTGATGCCGAGAGTATGGGTTTGTATTGCCTCGTGGCTGTAGCTCGGAGAGAGAGGTGGTGATGTCCGAGACATTGCCTTAAATACACTTATAATTATGCTTCGTGCTGCAGGGATTATTACACTTGATTTGGTTACATTTCTGCAAGGATTAATTTTTGTAAGATAGGAGTTTTAAAAGAGCCATGTTCAATTAGAGGCAGCAGGTTGGTTGTATATTTAAAAGATATTGATGCAAGTTTTTTTTTTTTTTTTTTTTTTTTTTTAATTAAGGTCAGCAGCTGTCACACAAATAATATATATTGACCTCATAGTGATCTATTTTTCATAAATGCAATAGTATGATGGAAAAATATATTCTCCTTTAGACAGATTGTCATTAGTTGAGCAAAGTTGAGAATTATTGGGCAACTTTAATTTATAAGCTTAGGCTAGAAACAGATGTTAACTATTGACATGATTACTCTTAGATCCGGCTATGTGTCCCATCAGGAATATATATTTCAAGCATACTTTTCATGTTGATACTGTATTTGGTAATGGGTGTGCTGTGAGTTTGTTGCGTTACACCATTTTATAATGTAGGTAGTGCATCAAAGCTGATACTTTTGTAACATTAACAGTGATTGTCTAGACTGGTTCACTAATTATTTTATACACAGACAAGAGTGGCACTAGAACGTTAAAAGGCGGGGCCCCAAGAGCTACATCTTTAGTCCCGTAGACGGTAAGGTAGACTCAAACACGGGTACACGGTTTCCAAATTGTTTGATAAAATATACAAACAAGGTGGAACACCCTATGTATAGCTCTCTTGTGACTGCAAGTAGGAACACTTGTGCACGTGTGCACACAAACCCACCCAACATACACATGAATGCACACATTTCCCAAGGGTTCGGACACAGTAGACGGCAAGACGGTTAGACAATATGATTATTATATGTTTTTAAGTAGGGATGAAAGCTAGTTTTTGAAGCTGTGGAAAAGAGGGCAGAGTTTTAAACTATGAAGTAAAAACAAATGTAAAATATTTTTTCATTTTTGTGGATGGCTTGCCTACACCCTAGAAGTAAATGAACCACTGGCAACGTGAAAAAACTGTACGTATATAAAGTACACGAAGACCAGACAGTGAATATTGCTGTATTTCTGCGACTCCAAATAAGCAATTCCACGTGCACATGGACATGCTCGCACCCAGATGTGCTTGGAAACGCAGAAACTGCCGAGAGAAGGATCATTAGCAAATTTAGAGAATCTATACAATACTGTATATCACTTACATCTATTATATCAGAAATATTTTAGTTCAGCTTGTTATATTGAAGATTGTCAATAAGACCGTTGCTGTAGCAGAATAACACTTTCCTATATCAATATACATTTTTGTGATTAAAGAAATGATATCGACGTTATTCTTTAGCAAGTGTACCATTGCACTTGGTGTTGACATTTACAATGTTTGAGGCAAGGTTGTATGTGCACCACCACCATCCACCTGCCCTTAATTTTAATAATGGAATACTAAATTTCTCATCCCACGTGAAATCGGTCATTTCATATTAATAAAACTTTTGCTTGAAAGAGGATATTATTTTGCTAGTGTAAAAGTTGCCAAATGGTGGTTGAGAATGTGTGGCTGTACAGTAACTGGTTTATACCGTAATGGAGAGCGCGTCTGTGTAAACACATCCGTAAAAGTGGGAGAATATTTACAGGATGTAATATAATGTTACAGTAATTGAGACTTTTCTTTTAGAGCAAGACGGTGGAATTAAACTAGTGTCTTGTATCACCTCGCACACATCTTGCCCATGGACCACAGTGTGCTAAAGAATAACAAGCTGTTACTTTTAAGACGGTCCATGGGTGAGGCATGAATCTGGGGTGACCTAGGATGGTGGCAAGATTCCACCGCCGTCCTCCGGATTTTCTGAAATAGTATCACGTTATTGTGATTTCACTGTGCGCTATAATTTTCAAGAGCTTCTGTATATTTGAGTATAGATCAATCACAAATTCCCAGTTATCACAAGTCATGATGAATTATTCAACTAGTCCTCCAAATATGATAGTGCTTATAGCAATTATTGGTCGAACATGGTTAAATGGACTGTTTTATTCCCCAAAAAGCTTTTGTACTATTAGAATGCACCAAATGGCATGGCCCCCCCAAAAAAGAGAGTAAAATGATAACCTAACGTATTCTAGGCACGATAACCAATCCTAAGACTAAGAATGCATATATTTAGTATATATTTGCTGTACGAGGCCTAGGCAAGTTTAGGTTTGGTTGTCACCTTTCGTTTCCTCTATAAAATTAGTAGTACAAAACAAACACTTTGAGGTACAAGTCCATTTATCTAGGCTTGAGAAATTGTTGCCATTAGTGCTATAATTATAGTTTTTGGACAAAAGTTGGAATGAACACATTATTGCCTAAATCGGTTTTCCTCTTCAGATTATACAGTTTTCTCCATGACCTATGCCAGTGATCTACGTGTAAGGAATTGTAAATAAATATTCGTATTCTGTAAGGGGAACTTATAGATCAACTTGAGAGAGAATGTTACCAAACCAAAGATTGAATAATATCATTCCAACATTGATTCCTAATGAAATTTGCAATATATATTTTTTTCTCTTTTGGCTTAGAGTAAATTATGAAAATGTTGCCATATATTTTATTAATATATATTTTAATGTATATTTACAAACAAACAAAACTAACAAAAAAAAAAATAAAGGTCATTTACAATTTGCATGGTAATATTTTTATTATTTAATCTATAATGATTTCAAAAGTCAAATGGAAAGCACAAGTTGAACATTTTGTTCACGCCAATGTTATGTTGCAAATGTACTTAAATAGGGGGTTGCTGATTTTTAAGTTAATCCTCTGATTATATTTTCCTATTACATTTGTATGCAAATTGACTCCATAAATATATTATATATATATATATACTTTACTGTATATGTGTACACACGATTTTTTTTTATTATAGACAAATAATTATTGCAATGTTAAGTTAACTTGAGCCAGAATGTTCTATAATTTTCTACATTTAGTGTGACTGTAAAGATAGGTATGTATGAATGCAATATACTGTATACATGCCTATATGTAAGCGTGTGTGTAATAAAATGTACGTGTGAATAATTTAAATTGAATGCTGAAAAAAGTTTATTTCGACTTTTATTATTTGAAGCTCGAGAGTATATTTAAGGAAGATGAAATGAGCATTTGTCTTGGCACCTTGCCAGTATAACGTCTGTGTAGTTCGCATGGTAAACATTCAACAATTATTTTCTGGCTCGTGTATGTCTGGGTATCATTGTTACATAGTTTTATTCTACAAAACTGAAGCCGTCTGTCCTGATTTTTATAATGTGTAAGTTTTTTTTTTTTTTAAATTGAGAGAACCTTATGATTTGGGTATTAATATTTATTATAGGTGAATATTGTGAGTTGAGGGTCTTATGTATGCACATGCACTCCAGAGCTGAACAAAGTATAGTCACTAGAATAGATTATATTTTGAGTGCAATTGCTTTTAGGCATTGCAGTGTCTGTGAGTGCATCTGCTTGCTTGCATTGTGTGCATGCATGCATATATTGAACTTAGTTTTTAATAATGAAAGATGTGTATTCAGCTCTTATTTGTCACTTGGTTAAAAATTTTGCACTGAAAACTCGTTGGACAAACGATATTGAACTGATGGTCATTGAACATTTTGCGTGCTGGTGATTTACGCTGAAGTAATTTTCCAGTCACTGCATCCATAACTTGACAAAAAGGATATTTAGACTGTACTTTAAAATTTAAATGTGTTTCCAGACATCACAATGAGGCTGAAGATACGACCAAACCACACTCCAGATGACGACGCGTCGGTTCATCCTGGAGAATTATTAAGTTGTATGTGGGTCAACACACACACGACTTGATGACGGTTCAGGACAGACTGAAACGTAGTACTTAGTTTATTCATCTTCGGGTGTGTGGTTTGGTCATCATAAGTGTTTTGTTTAAGGAATTTTTAATTTAAGCTTTGTGGATGGAAAAATCTAATTGGTTTCCATTTGAGAATAAAATTGATCATGATTCCACTGTAGCTTAATATTTTCTTTTTAATGCAAATTACAAGTACAGTACAGGGTATATTATTCTAATTGCAACAAGGATATTAGATGTGCCAGCAATTGGTTCTTAGCATTTGATGCTACTGATCTTAAAGAGAACTGATTAAGGAAGATGCTTAAAGCAATTTTCTCTATGCAAAACTTGACTTGTTTAGGTTTGTCTGGTTTAAAAAAAAAAAAAAATTCATATGGAAAAGGCTTGGTGCCCTCATTTGATGATTACTTAATTTTGTGAAAATTTACACGGCAGTTCACTCGCTTTTAGCAAATGAATTTGTATCTTGTGAAGGAACATGCTAAATGTCCTTTGCAGTCCATGGATGCTCTAGTTTTTTCAATCATTAGGATAATATTTAAATTACTTACAAGTGACTTATAACTGATTGATTGTTTCAGATTACACTTGTTGAAGGAAAATATAAGAATTAAATATTTTTTATATATAAAATGTTCTAGCAGTGACTGGGACACGTAGTTACCTTGTACAGTCGATAAAGTCTTGGTTCATTAAATTTTGTACATTGTAATTTTTTATCAATTTTATTTTAATCCCATTACCACTTCTAAACAAGACACTTGGTTCCTTTAACTGGTGTTGGTTACAATAGCACCATTGCATATTTTTATTTTAAGTAAAGGACTGATCCACCTTTATATACCGAACTATAGTACTAATTTGCTTCCAATTTTGTGCTTTAAAAAAAGTTTATTCGTTCCCCCTGCCCCCCCCCCTACTTTCTTTTTTACACATTAACAAACCAATTCTGATATAAAGCAGTTGTGTGTTTGTGTATCTAACCACATCATAATTGTGTGTTTTTCTTGTGGCAATTGTAACCTTGATATGTTGTAACGAGCATCGTGTACCATGTAGCCCATAGATGTATATATAAGGAATTCTGAAATAATTGAAGTGGCTTCATCCAGTGTTTTATTTTTACCATATAGTTGCTACAGATGCAAATGAACAGAAATATTAGTTTAAAGGTGGTGTTCGACCAGCCCATCCTCTCGAACATTCACAATGTCGATAAACTGATGTACTAAATTTTCGTAAACTAACTTAATAGAAATCGAACATCACGTGAATTTTAAGAGCCACTATGATTTTGGCCTTTAGGAATTTGTACGACAAAATGCAATGTACTATCCGAGAGGACGGGTTGGTTCGACACGTTCACACTACAAATGTTGCTAAATAGTCTTTCTGCCTTGGTGCCTTCTTTTGATAGTCATTGAAGACAAAGTAAGTAAGTAATTATCAAAAGAAGGCACCAAACCGGGAAGGCATTGAAGACAAAATGGAAGTCAAAAGTATGGTTAATGCAAGTCTGGTCATCAGTCTTGACAGCAAGAAACCCAAATTAGTCTTGAACACTTCTTTCATACACACTATTGCTTACCATGGTCAACATTTCTACCAGGTGTCAAGATGATCAAATTAACTATGCTGTGTAACTTGTAACCTGAAGTTTTCCTAGTTAAAAAGATGACTATTTGCCAAGACTGAACATTGAGGTATTGAGCACTTCTAAAATTTCTAATGGTGCTACATAGCCTTCCCGGCTTGGTGCCTTTTTTTTGATAATTACTTGCTTGCTTCTAAAACTTCTATAAAATTCTCTATAGCACCTTTTGTAGGGGCAAGTAGAATTAGATCAGTAAAGCAAAATACACTAGTCCCCTGTGTAGCTTATGCGACAGCCAGCTCTTCTAGTACTTCTCTTGGCGGTGAATAAACGGCAAATGGACTTAAAACTGTAACTTGCTTGTTTGCATTTTTTTTTTTTTTTTGAGCGAGAATTTCTATTTGAGGCACTTGAGGCCTTGTAAGAAGTGGACATGTGTGCTTGGTATACCAGCTACAGGACATTTGAGGCACTTGAGGCCTTGTAAGAAGTGTACGTGTATGCTCGGTATACCAGCTACAGGACATTTTATGCTTGATATTTCTCTAAAAAAGCAGCTAGCTATAAATATAAACGGTTATATAATGTCAAAGCTTTTGAAGCATAGAGAATGTGGGTTGAACCATATCTCTCGGAATTGAATATTTTCCACCACCCAAGAAACTGTTTGTAGAGTATCCAATTTTTTGTGCAACTTAAAAGAAGTGTCTAGTTAATTAAATAGAAAATGCAAGATGATGCATTGCCTGCTTTCTAGACACTCACAGGGAAGGCACCTTGTGTGTGTGCTTGCTTATGAAGATAAGAGATAGGCAAGCTCTTCTGCCTCGCTTGTTCCCCTCTGCCCTCCTACCCTAGTTCCTCGGTTCACACAATTTTTCCTTCCCTCATTCCACAGCTCTTTCTGCTCGCCTGTCCTAACCTACAGGTGTTCCTCTCGTCTTTTTCCAGCCTATTCTCTCAGGTCAATGTATGTCTGTTTGGATACCCTGATGTGCATTCAACTGCACCATATCGGGAGAATGTGGATTGCATGGGCTCTCCAAACATAGGCCCCATCTACTGATCTTCCAACATGATTAAAGGCAGCTCTTCCAGTTGGGGTCTTCTTTCTGATGACATCCTGGAACTTTTTTTTTTTTTTGGGGGGGGGGGGGCATTACTTGCCGAAGCTTGCATAATCTCTTTCCAATGATCTGACCCAGGCTGGTGCCCTTGTCATCCCCTGCTTGGTAGCTCTTGGGCAGTGCCAGCTACCTCTCTCCTGTGAGGAAGGCCCCTTGCCCTAGATGCTGCATGCCTGGCATCCCCTTGTGGCAACCAGCTACTACTGTTGACCAGACCACACACTAGAAGGTGAAGGGACGACGACGTTTCGGTCCGTCCTGGACCATTCTCAAGTCAATTGTGCAAGTGCTGCAGACTTGAAGACAGTCTGACTGGATCTGCACAGCCCTCCTGAACCCCTTACTACGTCTACTACCGAAAAGAATCCAAGATACGACGGATTTCCTGAAGAAAATTGCAGAAATTAGAGGCCCCATCCCGAGAGGGGCCTCTACGCTGACGCTGGAGAGGCTGCCATCATGGTAACAGAACAGTGGAGAGGCTAAGCTTTCATATCCTACATAAAGAGGGACAAGAGCGGACAGCTTCCTTGGCGGCAGCATCCGCACGCTCATTTAAAGACACACCAATATGGCTGGGAACCCAACAAAACTCAACCGACTTAAATTTACTGTGAACGAGAAACAGCCAATGCTGGATCTCGACAACCACTGGATGAACTGGATTAAAGGACCCCGAGAGCCATAAGGGCACTACGAGAGTCAACAACAACTACAAAGGAAGACTGACAACGAGAAAGTAGGAGACGAAGAGCATAGAGAATAGCATAAAGTTCCGCTGTAAAGATGCTAGTCTCCGGAGGCAAGCGACACATATAAGTGCGATCAGGAAAAACAACAGAGTAGCCAACACCGTCCGCTGACTTAGACCCATCGGTGAAGACAGAAACGGAGCGGGAGTGAGAAGAAAAGTGCTCGAGGAAAAGGCGTTTTAGAACCGTAGGAGGGGTAAAAGCTTTAGTGATACGGGTCAAGGATGTACAAAACCGCAAAAGAGGGACCCTCCACGGGGGCAAAGAAGGAACAACACGAGGAGAAACATCAGAAATACGAACGGAAAGAGAATCCTGCAGGCGAGATAACCGGACAGAAAGAGGGAGGTGGTGAAGAGGAACAGGAACCGCAGGAGGGGTAAAAGTTAAAGCACGACAGAGGCGAGAGGAAGGATGTTGCAAGGACCGCGCAAGATAGCGAAGACAGTAGCGATCACGGCGGTCCTGGAGAGACAGGAAGCCAGTGTCAACATACAAGCTAAGGATGGGAGTCGAACGAAAGGCACCAGAACTGAGGCGCAACCCAGTATGGTGCAAAGCATCAAGACGGCGAAGAGTAGAAGGAGAAGCAGACGAGTAAGCAGGGCAACCATAATCGAGCTTAGACAGGACGAGAGAGGAATGTAAAGCAAGGAGAGTGCGCCTATCTGCCCCCAAGAAGTATGGGACAAGACCCGAAGGAGGGTAAGGGCCTTAGAGCACTCAACACGGAGGTAAGAGATATGGGGAGACCAAGACAAACGAGTGTCAAGGAATAACCCCAAAAGCTTCGCGGAATCTTTGTATTCAAGGGGATGACCATAAAGTGACAAAGAGGGACGAAGAACAACCCGTTTCCGCGTAAATGTCATGGCACAAGTCTTAGAAGTAGAGAACTTGAAGCCATGATCAGTGGCCCAAGACGACACGGCATCAATTGCAAGTTGAAGCCGACGTTGAAGGAGAGGCGAATCATCACCCTGACAACAAAGGGTAAGATCATCGACATAGAGAGCGGAGAAGACACCAGAAGGAAGAGAGGAAAGAAGACCATTGAGGGCAACCAGAAAAAGAGTAGTGCTCAGAACACTACCCTGGGGCACACCTTCGTATTGCTGAAAAGAGGGAGAGAGAGCGGTACCAAGGCGCACCCGAAAGGAACGACGAGAGAGGAAGCTGCGGAGAAAGAGAGGGAGATGACCACGAAGGCCAAAAGAATGAAGTTGAGATAGGATATGATAACGCCAAGTGGTGTCGTAAGCCTTTTGTAGGGGCAAGTAGAATTAGATCAGTAAAGCAAAATACACTAGTCCCCTGTGTAGCTTATGCGACAGCCAGCTCTTCTAGTACTTCTCTTGGCGGTGAATAAACGGCAAATGGACTTAAAACTGTAACTTGCTTGTTTGCATTTTTTTTTTTTTGAGCGAGAATTTCTATTTGAGGCACTTGAGGCCTTGTAAGAAGTGGACATGTGTGCTTGGTATACCAGCTACAGGACATTTGAGGCACTTGAGGCCTTGTAAGAAGTGTACGTGTATGCTCGGTATACCAGCTACAGGACATTTTATGCTTGATATTTCTCTAAAAAAGCAGCTAGCTATAAATATAAACGGTTATATAATGTCAAAGCTTTTGAAGCATAGAGAATGTGGGTTGAACCATATCTCTCGGAATTGAATATTTTCCACCACCCAAGAAACTGTTTGTAGAGTATCCAATTTTTTGTGCAACTTAAAAGAAGTGTCTAGTTAATTAAATAGAAAATGCAAGATGATGCATTGCCTGCTTTCTAGACACTCACAGGGAAGGCACCTTGTGTGTGTGCTTGCTTATGAAGATAAGAGATAGGCAAGCTCTTCTGCCTCGCTTGTTCCCTCTGCCCTCCTACCCTAGTTCCTCGGTTCACACAATTTTTCCTTCCCTCATTCCACAGCTCTTTCTGCTCGCCTGTCCTAACCTACAGGTGTTCCTCTCGTCTTTTTCCAGCCTATTCTCTCAGGTCAATGTATGTCTGTTTGGATACCCTGATGTGCATTCAACTGCACCATATCGGGAGAATGTGGATTGCATGGGCTCTCCAAACATAGGCCCCATCTACTGATCTTCCAACATGATTAAAGGCAGCTCTTCCAGTTGGGGTCTTCTTTCTGATGACATCCTGGAACTTTTTTTTTTTTTTTGGGGGGGGGGGGGCATTACTTGCCGAAGCTTGCATAATCTCTTTCCAATGATCTGACCCAGGCTGGTGCCCTTGTCATCCCCTGCTTGGTAGCTCTTGGGCAGTGCCAGCTACCTCTCTCCTGTGAGGAAGGCCCCTTGCCCTAGATGCTGCATGCCTGGCATCCCCTTGTGGCAACCAGCTACTACTGTTGACCAGACCACACACTAGAAGGTGAAGGGACGACGACGTTTCGGTCCGTCCTGGACCATTCTCAAGTCAATTGTGCAAGTGCTGCAGACTTGAAGACAGTCTGACTGGATCTGCACAGCCCTCCTGAACCCCTTACTACGTCTACTACCGAAAAGAATCCAAGATACGACGGATTTCCTGAAGAAAATTGCAGAAATTAGAGGCCCCATCCCGAGAGGGGCCTCTACGCTGACGCTGGAGAGGCTGCCATCATGGTAACAGAA